AAATAAATAAAAAGGAATGTAACTTACAAATATTTGACTGATAGTAGACTGATGGCAAGTCAATGAAAGTTTAGCACCAGAAAGTCAAAAACTCTCTACAATGCACTTAATTTTCCAACGCCTCTTGAAAAAGTGAATATTCGATTATCTGTAAGGGGAAAAAATAATTCTCACCACTCCATACTGCGGTGGTACACTCAGCGCCACGTTGAGCATTCCCATACTCTCCTGATAATTCGAGTAACGATCAACGTCGATTGCATATGATTCTCTAATACGAACTCCAATCTGGGCTTCCTCGAGAACGATATAGATTTCTGGCTGACCTCGTTCCACGTTGTTCACGTAGACTAGCACACCTGAAGGACAACACTCGGGATTTACCAATAGAACCGTCAGGGCAGTCCTCACATCTGGCACTAAAGCTTACTGCAGTGCTCTACTAAAGCTTTCTCGAACTAGGGAAGGGTAGGCGTGTCAAGAAAAAAAAGCAAGCTTCAGATCCCGCGGGAGGAGGAAAGTTTTAAGGAGAACTACAAATTCATAACTGAATCCGACTGATTCAAAAGACTACTGACTAGCTCTGTTACTTTATTGCAATCCTGCTTCTAGGGTGTCAATGAATCGATTCTTTATTGAAAGCCTTCCACGATTCTCCAACCTTTGAAACGCTGAAGCCTCATCGTATCGAAATAACGCATAATATTCCCGACGATTATGCTGGTTCTATAGCGGAACCTTCTGGTGTCCTTCCGAGTGACCACATGTACTCTATCGGTACCAGTTGCCTCCAATGCGACACCGGTGATGACTGTCACATTCGTCGGCTGAACAAGATCCTGTTGAGCCATTCCGCGTCCGAGAAGACCTTGAAAAATACCAATTTACAGTTAGAAATAACCATTTCACTGAATAGGATTTCATTATATCGATGGCAAAAGAGTCTCAGTATAAGGGAGTAACGTAGACTCACTGAAATCCACTCGTCGATCTGGATAACGCTCTAGCCTCAACTGAATCTTCACTTCTGGTGTCTTGAGCGTCTGAGGTATGTAGAGCACATTGAAGACACCGGGTTCATTGAAAATGAACTTGTCATTATCAATCGTGTTAAACGTTCCAGCGCCCATGCCTTCTCCTGAAAATCGCAGACTTTTTATCCTGTGAAGGCGAAGGTCCTTCTGAACTGCCCGAATTCAATAAGGAGTCACAGAAAATCATGGCTACCTCACTTTTTCACTACAAAAACGAAACAGCAACTATTTGTGGGATTCATGACACCCGAAGGTGTGTGAACAATCAGTAAAGAAGCTACCGTATGCCGGCGGTTGATACTCTTGACATCCGCTAGATGGACGTCTCCAATAGAACATTTGGCAACGGAAGTCGGCGAACTTGCAGCATAAAAAGTATGGCATGTAATCGTTATGGAAGGCGGACAGACCAGGAACCTAAAAAAAG